TGCCCTTTTTCCTCAACCAGTGTGGCTCCCTTCTCTACTACCTCACCTTGGCGTCAACAGGTGGGTCTCTGACTTAGAACTGCTGTGTTCAGTGGTGGAGGCCACCCGGAAGAGTCACTTGGGGAGGGGGCCTGAAACACCCGTTCCCATGAGTGAAGGAGACCCCACCATCTGTGATTCCCTCTTTGCACCCTCTTCTCTGAGCAGCTGGGGGCACAGTGGGCTGTTTATAAGTATGCTGCCAGGCACTGGGGTTGGTTTGAAGCCTGGTGGTCCTGTGCAGCAGCGGAGGAAGAGGGAAGGTTCATTTGCTGTGCCGGCAGCTGGCCTTGACACTTGCTTCCACAGTGTGCCACCTGCCTGACCTTGAGCGAGTCTCTTGTTTGAGTGTTGGTTTTACAGGATGGTTTTTGTAGCACTGAGAGATTACATTCAGTGTATGGGAAGCGTCTAGCCGAGTAGCTGATGTACCCTATAGGAGCTCAGCAAGCAGCTCCTTGTTTCCTTCCTCCGTGATTGTTGACTGTCCTCTGCTGCGTCAGATACTGTGCGAGTTTTACACACTTTGTAGCTGTACCGCAGAGATACTACAGGTTTGGTTCCACACTACTGCAGAACAACAAATGTTGCAGAGCAGATCAGATGAATTTTTTTGGCTTCCCAGTGCATATAAAAGTTATGTTTAGTAGTGCCCAGCTGGCTCATTTGGTAGACATTGCGACTGTTGATCTCAGGAGCATAAGTTCGAGCACAGGGTTTACTTAGAAATAAAATAAAAACAAAGGGGCCCCTGGGTGGCTCAGTCGGTTAAGCAGCTGTCTTTGGCTCAGGTCATGATCCTAAGGTCTCAGATGAAGCCCCACGTGGGGCTCCCTGCTCAGAGGGGAGCCTACTTCTCCCTTTCCACCTGCCTGCCACTCCTCCTGCTTGTGCTCTCTCTCTCTTTTTCTGTCAAATAAATGAATAAAACCCTAAAATAAAAATAAAAAAAGCAAGTGGGCGTGTGTGTTGTGGTTGGTTAAGCATCTAAACCCTTGGTTTTGGCTCAGGTCGTGATCTCAGGGTTGTGAGATTGAGCCCCGCATTAGGCTCGTGCTTAGCGCAGTCTGCCTGGGACTCTCTCCCTCTCCTTCTGCCCCTTACCCCCTACACTCTACAATAAATAAACCAATCGATCTTTAAAAAAGAGAAAGAGAGAAGTGCAATAAAACGAGGCAGGCCTGTATTTGATTCTCATCATGGCACTACAGAGCAGACCTGATGATCTCCATGTAGGAGATGAAGTTAAAGAATTTGGGGCAACTTACTTCCCTTATCCAAGGTCCCAAGCATGTCAGTGCAAAAGGATTTGAAGCCATATATTACTTAAAGTTTATGCTCTTGAGGTTTACTATGAGAAGTCTCCCTTCTGTGGTTTCATCTCTCCTGGAATCTCAGCCAAGCACCCCGGGAACTTGAGGGGAGTTTGGGTCCCCGAGAGCTCTGGGGCACCCCTTGGAAGCCATGGGAGGGTGAAGAGACAGGCCAACCTCCAGAGCTGCCCCCTTAGCTTCAACTAGAGGCACTCCATGTTTCTCTCTTTTGCATTTGGGGCTTCTCATAAGGCATCATTTAAAAGAAAGTTCTGGGGGCACCTGGCTGGCTCGGTCAGTAGAGCACACCACTCTTGATCTCAGGGCCATGAGTTCAGGCCTCATGTTGGGCGTGGAGATTACTTAAATAAAACTTAAAATAAAGCTTGGAAAAAGAAAAGAAAAGAAAGTTTGAAAACTTGGTGCTCCCTGCTGCCCAAGAATGCTGAATGCTCTGGCCAGCTGACTACACTTAGCCCTTTACCAAGTTTTGAGCAAATGGCAAGATTCGGGTCCTGTTATGTCATCGTCTGCCCCACCTCCATCCTTTAGCATCTGCCTGTGACAATAATCAGCTACAGTGGCCACTTTATCAAGGATGTATATACTCAGGGACTAGACATATGACCGTTTCACTGTACAGCAGCCCTGTGGTACGGAGATGCTCTCACCTTGCTAGCACGGGTATAGGGTACAGTGAATTGAAGACCTAACCAGAATCACATGGGGACCTCTGCTCTTCCACTGCCCCATGCTGCTTCCTTTCCCCATCTACTGTCTCGGACCAGTCTTTAGCAGTCACGGCGTGCCATGGAAGGGGTGTAAGCCCAAGGGACCAGCTCTGAGTGGGTAGGAGTTGTGGTCAGTTTCTTGGATGGGAAATCCCAGCTGTGGTGGAGACTCTTCAGGGGATGAGAAGCAGGACAGTTCTTCCTTTTAGTCTTGTCATATTCAAGTAATTCAGTGTCTGATTGGTACTTCTCTTTTTTTGGTATGTGTGTGTGGTAAGAACACTTAATACGAGGTCTATCTTCTTAGAAGGTTTTTTTTTTTTTTTTTTAAAGCAAGCTTTACACCCAATGTGGAACCTGAACTCACAACCCTGAGATCAAGAGTCACATGCTCTACCGACTAAGCCAGCCAGGTGCCCCTATCTTCTTAAAAAGTTTTAGGTGTGGGGGCGCCTGGGTGGCTCAGTCTGGGTTAAGCCTCTGCCTTCAGCTCGGGTCATGATCCTGGGGTCCTGGGATCGAGCCCCAAGTCAGGCTTCCTGCTCAGCAGGGAGTCTGCTTCTCCCTCTCCCTCTGCCATTCCACCTGCTTGTGGTCTCTGGCTCTATCTCTCTGTTTTTTAAAGATTTTTATTCATTTGTCAGAGAGAGAGAGAGTGTGTGCACAAGCAAGGGGAGCAGCAGATAGAGAGAGAAGCAGGCTCCCCGCTGAGCAAGGAGCTGGACATGGGACTCGATCCCAGGATTCTGGGATCATGACCCAAGCTGAAGGCAGATGCTTAACTGACGGAGCCACGCAGGTGTCCCTGCCCCCGCCCCAAAAGTTTTAAGTGTACAAAATTTAAGCATAACACATTTTAAGCTAACCCTGTTAACTAGATTGGTCTTTCAGGTTTGTTTTTTGGGAATCAGTCCTTTGGAACTTCAAAAGTAAGGGACCGATCCTGGGCTGTCCCCTACCTAAGGCCCAACCCTGTGGGGCCTATCCTGAACATGTTCCTGACTTCCCTCAGGCTCCATGTTTCGAGCCCGAGCTGAAACAGAATCAGATGTGCTTCACGGGCTGTTTGTCCACCTCCGCTTTGTTCAGTCAGGACATAGGCTTTGGAGTCAAGCAGCCCTCGGTTTAAGTCCTTGATTTGCCTCAATGTACGTGTCTTCTTTGAGCTTTTGTTTCCTTTACGCACGGTGATAATGCTCTTTTCGCGGTGCTGTTGTGAAGACTGAAGATGTATACACAGGTGGCACTTAATAAATGGTGGCTGCGCTGTTGCACTCATCTACTGCATCCTCTTGGCTTTGGGGCCTATCTGTCCCAATATTCTTGCAATCTCAGGAGCTCTTTGAGTGCAAAGACCTCATCTTTAGCCACAAACGAGGGTGGTCCCAGACCACCTTATAGTTTGGGTCTTCGTGCAGGAGTGGAGGGAGCATAAAATTGAGAGTCAGGAAACATGGTTGGAATCCTGAGCTTTGCTGCAGTTTCATCAGGAAAATGAGATACCCTTTTTTTCTTTTTTAACAGGCTGTCTCAATAAAATGTGTTTTGTGCCTAGAAAGACCATTTTGGGGGGCACCTGGGTGGCTCAGTCATTAAGCATCTGCTTCGGCTCAGGTCATGATCCCAGGGTCCTGGGATCAAGCCCCTCATTGGGCTCCCTACTCACCGGGAAGCCTGCTTCTCCCTCTCCCACTCCCCCTGCTTGCATTCCCTCTCTCGGTGTATCTCTCTCTGTCAAATAAATAAAATCTTAAAAAAAGAAAAGAAAAGAAAGAAAGATAGTTTTGGGGCATCTCAGAGATTTTTTTTTATTCTGATCATTCAGATCTGACCCTAGCCGTGCCCATCAGTAACTCTCTGGCCATTGTCTTCACACTGATTGTTGGGAAGTTCCTCGGAGAGGATATCGGTGGGAAAGGTAAGTCAGGCCACTGCACGTGTGGGTAGGCGCCCGTTGGGCCTCCCCACCCCAATCAGTCCTTCCCCAGAGCCAGCTCCTGTGGGCGGGAGAGAGGAGACTCTTTCCCCATCCATCCCCTTTCCTCGGCAGCTCTCCTCCTTCCTTATGGCCATCCGAGTTTCCTTCACCTGGGCATTCCAGGGATAGACTCCCTCTGCACTGGTCCCTCAGCCCTGCACCAGCTCCTCCTAGCATGGCTGGGCTCAGCCCCTTGATTTCTGTCTGTCCCCGCAGGAGCATTCACAGGCATGGTGCTCACCGTGGTGGGGATTGCACTCTGCGTCACGAGCTCCGTGAGCAAGACCCAGGAGCAGCTGTCTGCCCTTTGAGGGGACCCACACCACCCTCCAGCCCTGCTGTGTCTGGGAAGCCCCTGAGCCGGGAGGTGCAGCCAGGGAAGCAGATGGACCCAGCACCTCCCGCTCTGAGCCTCGACACCCTCACCTCTTCCGGGGCTGGTAGCTACCTCGAGGCGGCTCTCGCAGGAGAACCGCAGCGAAAGAGCTGTTCGGCTGCTTGGATGTGCCACCAGAGACCTCATACTTCCCCAGCAACCCTTCTGCCGCAGCAGCTCTTCCCGTGCTGTCGTGTCAGGCCCCCAGCCCAGTCACTGTCACTACAGCCTGATCCAGACTGTTCCAGTAGCAGAGTCCACAGACAGCGTGGAGACGGCCACCGGCTGAGCGAGATGCAAACAGGAGGCATCAGGGCTGTCAGCAGCCTTGGCTGGCTGAAGCGGGGACCCAAGGGGAAGAAGGGACAACAGAACGGCAGGTGTAGAGGACACGAGCAGCCTGTGGCCTGGCTTGGCCCACCTAGGAGGTGGGTGGGAGTCCTCAACCGCCTGCCCCCTTCAGACAGACAGCCTGGGTCCCCCACCCCGTGTCACTTCTGCCATGTGTCATGGGGACTGGTGAGGCGTAGCCTCAAATAAATCTGCACGGAACGGATGGAGGACAGCGAGTACTCTTCTATCGCAGCACGCCTGCTCCCATGGTTGTAGCCTCTCCCCCAAGCTCGGCGCGCTCCTCCTGTCTCTGGCTGGAGAAACCCATGGGAACAAGGCCTCCACGGCTAGGGCTGCCCAGCTCAGAAGGAAGAGAAGACCGGGCTGTAGGTTTAGGAGCAGAAGAGTGGGGTGGGGCCGAAGGGGCTGCTGGGTATCCTGTGAGCCCAGGGGTGGTGCTGGGTCCCCTGGAACAGGCCGCAGAGTGGCCGCCCCAGTTCCTGGCCGGAGCTGCTGACTCCCAGGATGGCAGAGACAGGGTTGAGGCTGAGACTGCTGCCCCAGCCCCAGGCTGCTTTTCCAGGCCCAGGGCCTCGTCCACCATCTGTGCTGTCCTCTGGAGGAGGCAGAAAGCCATGCAGACCAGAGCATTAGCACCCCTTGTTGCCTCTGCCCTCGGCTGAAGTTTCTGACCCGTGGAAAGGAAGAGACTTTACAACTTCAGATCTGCCCACTCGCTTAACCAGGTAGGAGGTTGGGCTTGGAGAGTTAGATCGGCTCACAGTCCCAAGGGGAAGCTCTCCTGGGACCCCGGGCTGCCATTCCAGCTCTTCGCCCCTGAACCAACATACTGCTTCCGGCCCCTGCCCACCTGATCCAAGGGTTCCTCCGTGCAGGTGTCTTCATCATCTGCCACTTCCTGGGCCCCTGCGGTCTCCTTCCTCGGGTGGGGAGCCTCATACACTCCCTTGACTCCTGATGAGAGAGGCAGTGTCAGCGGATGCCCAGCCCGAGGAGCCCTTGCTCTTCTCTCCCAGCCCCTTCCCCTCCCCTGAGCCTTGCTCCACGGTCCAGACTACCTTGGAGGCTAGCAGGGTAGCTCCGAGGCAGGCCTTTGGCTCCCATCCCTTCCAAATCCCACCCTCAAGTCTCCCTGTGCCTTGTCTCATGTTGCCAGCTCCTTCCGCGGCAGTCAGGGATGATGTGTGCCCATGGGGCAGCAGGAAGGATCTATGCTGAAGTCAAGGCCAGCTCTGCCCCTGGGCATTCTGCCCCCATAGACCTCTCCCACAGCAGGAGCCATTTTGTGTCACCGTCAGAGGGTGGGTAAGAAAGGCCCAGGGTCCCCTCACCTGATGGAAACAAGAGCGTGGGGAGCCTGCTGCTTGGCTGAATGGCCTGCTGGGGTCTGGCATAGAAGGCACATGGCTCAGTGGGGCTTGGCTCCTTTGGAGAGGGCTGGGGCACCTGCGCCCTGTGGCCCTGGGCCTGTAGAGGGCATACTGGGCTTGGACTCTGGGTGATGATTGTTCTTGTCTTCTCTCCTGCCAGGCCAAGCTTGAATGCCCCGGCTGCTTGTGGGAGCTTGGGAGAGATGCCATCTGTCTTCACAGCCTGTGTCCTTCCTCCCGGCTCCCTCTTCCCATCAGGCTGCCTTATCCAGGGACAGAGCTGCTGGTGCCCGGCACCCAAGAAGCCCAGTGAAGCCAGGCCGTGTCCCCCAACCCCCGCCCAGTGCTCAGTGGCTCATTTCTTGGGAGGGCTCAGGCCTGGGATCAGCTGGGGAGCTGGGCCCTGCTATGCCATAGGCCAGTTCGCTCTCCCAGTGGCCTGCCTGGCCAGCAGAATCCACAGGTCTTTGTCGAGCCGAGTTGAGCTGTCTCTTACACCAGCTTCTGGTTTGGCCCTTGCCATTCAAGACCTGTGTCACCCTGAGCAGCTGACTTCACGCCTGTGAACTTGTCTCCTCCGGAAAATGGGAATGTAACCTCTGTTCCACAAGGTGTGTGGTGAGAGCCTGAGCTGGAGGAGAGGCCAGCCAGTCACCCCTCTCCTGTCCTGCCTTGCATGGCCTCCCCCATCACCTACCTGTGGCTTGTGGGGCTTAGACTTTGGGTCTGGGGGTTGCCTGCAATGAAGAAAAAGGGCTTGTGGTAAGCAGAGCAGGCATGGGATCCGGGTGGCTTCCTCTGTTTTACCCTGCTGCCACCCCCCCCCCCCCCGCCACCTCCCACGTCCATACCAGCAGCCTCTGGGCAGAGAGGGGCTGGGCACCAGCAGCTCCAGATAGGGGAGGGCCTTGAACTCCTCCTCTCCGACCGCCACATAATAATGGCCATGCATCAGAGCATCTCTTGCTGACAGTGGGAGCCCCTCCAGGGTGCAGAGTCTGGGGGAGAGACGTAGTGGGTAAAGGCTGGTGGACAAGATGCTTCTGCATACTCGGCAGACTGCACCGGGCTGGGCGCAGCTACTCCAAGGTACCTGTTGGCTGCTGACCCTCCGGGCACCTGGGCCAGTCACCTCGGCTCTACCCTACTCCAGGGGCTCAGTGGAGGGACCCCTCCCTGTGGCACAGAAGGAAGTCCCATTTGGGGAGGCACAAGGACAGCCGAAATCAGCAGGGAGCCTCCCTCCATGGCCCCGGGGGCCTCCCCGGGGGCCGCACTCACTTGCACACAGCCCCCGCCTGAAGCTTGGCCTTCTCAGTCAGGAGCTTCAACACGGCTTCCCAGTCCTCGCCAGCAGCCTGGGGCAACTTCAGGCTAAATGGGGGACTTACCAGGTCCCCGTTCCTGAACACACTAAGACAAAAAGCAGTCTGGTAAGGAGAAGAGACCCCAGAACGCCCCACACATGAGGGGAAGAAGGGCAGCACAGGGCCGGAGATGGTCTAAGAACGGAGGCATTGGTCCGTTTTCACCCATCAAGCATGCTGGCACTTTTTCTATCCCCACCAGCGACCAGGGGCTCCTGGAACAAACCCACTTACATTTTCTTGGTCTTAACTGAAACAAAATCTGTTTCTGCTCCCCAACACTGGCACTCACCGAATATAGCAGGGGGGACGTGCAAGTGGTCGCGGTCCAAGGGTCCCGTCCCCTGGGTAGTGAGTCACAGGAGGACCCTGAAACCCAAGTCAGGCCCTCAGATCAGGAGAGAGTTGAGGCCTTTGGCTACGGATGGGTCAGTCCAAGCGGGTAGGATGAGTGAAGGAGGGGGCAAGGAGGGACGGGATGAATCACACCTTTCACCAAAAGAAGCTTCTACCTCTCCAAAGTCACATTCTGCCCATCCCTTTGCCCCCATATGTTTTACAGCTTCCTCTTTCCTTTGGGGACCACAACCTGGAGATAAAGTAACAGGCTGGGTGAGGAGCAAGGGGTAGTCTTGAAACCCTGTACCCCAGGGAGGGTAGCAGCTGGCTCCGGAGTGGATGTGGAGAGTACCCCCCCGCCATGGACCTGACAGATCCTGTTGTTTCCAGAACCCTTGGCTTCCCAGACAAAATTGGGGGGCAATCCCAAGAGGGGTAAGAAGACAGAGGGCTGGAGGCCAGCCTCCCCCAAGACTCACTGGTAGTCTGCTGCTCTTCCCACCTGGATCCTTCTGTCCGGGGGGTAAATAGCTATAAGGACAGAAGGGTTACAGGTCATCTGGGGGAGCCTGGGACCGTACCCCACTGGTAGCTGCCAGAGTGAGGGTCTAGGGTGCAGCTTACCAGGTATTCCTTCCCACCTGGATAGTCTCAAGACATCTGTCCAGAAACAGATGCTGGCCCTTGAACCTGCCTTAGGGCCTGGCATCAGGCTGACTATCTGGATTGGGGGCTCAGACACAAGCTATTAAGGTAAAGGGTCAAGAGAAACTAATTCACTCAGCATCATATTGTAGCTCAGAAATTCTCTCATTCATGAGGTTTTATCTCATTTTCTGTGAGATGGAGAAAGTTATGAGCCTACAGTAACATGGAAGTAAGTGACAGAGCCCGGATTCTAAGTCTCTCTGGCTTCCCACCCCTTGCTCCTTACGCTATCACAAGGAACGCCAGGGGACAGCTGAGTAGCACCTGGAAGCCAGATCTGAGTTGGAAGCTCAGATACTCAAAATTCTTCTCCCATCTTGGAAGGCATGGCTGCACCCCGCAGAGGGGGATGACCCCGGCCTGGGAGAGCACAGGATGATTGATCACAGCAGGGAGGAAGTGAGGGATGGAGTTAGCGTTTGGTGATGGTGGTGGTAGAGGAACCAATCAAGAAGAGCCTTTGGAAAAAGGGGCTCCACCTGCAGAACATTCTTGCAGGCTGGTCCTGACTGTGATGGGCATAAACATCGATGTCCTGCTTCGCCCAGAGCTGTGGCTCCGCTATTTGTGACTTGTGGACTCTGAGGCAGGTTACTTAGCCTGTCTTGATTTCCCATTCTAAAGAGTGGGGGTAAGACCGCGCCCTGTGTGGGGCCGCTGCCTTCCAGAACGGAACATGCACGGTGCCTGCACATGCAGCAACCACTGAGCACGAATACAACCGAATACGACCCGCCCTGGGCCACTCACCTTAGCTTGCGGAATCTTTCGAAGCCGGCAGCCACATACTGCCCTCCATTCTGCAGGTCGGCCAGGTCTGTGACAGGGTGGCCACCCTGAGGCGTATAGAGGGCCCGCACAGCCACCGGGGCCTGCACAGTCGAGGTCACCTCGCGGAGGAAGGTCTCCAGGGTGGGGAAGCGGCGTTGGCTCACCACCAGCTGGCGACCTGGGGAGAAGGGGTCCCCGTTCCGGTATATCACCACCCTCTTGGCTGCTGGATTGCTACCACCCGCCATCGTGTGCCCTCAGCAGGAGACGCGGAGCCGTTGCCAGGCAACTGAGGCAGGCTGGGAGCAGTGCCAGTCAGAAGTGGAGTCCTGCCCGAACCTTCACCAAGAAAGGGAGAGACTGCAGGAGCACGTGTTGGCCTTCAGGGTCTCATCCAGCCAGCCCTTGGCCCTCGGTGGGGCCTCGCTGAGAGCTGGGTGGGTCTGATCACTATACTGGGAGGAAGACAGCGGGCCTCAGTGAGAAAGTGGTGGAGAACACACTGAATCACAGATGTTCTAATCCTGGATAGAGGGAAGATCCTCAGAAGCTCCCTGCCACTCTGCAGCCCAAGGGCTGAGCTCAAAGGATGATCAGCTTTGGGGACTGTTCTCAAGGATGGCCCATCTGCCCCCTGGACTATGGCTCCCAGCCTGCCCCAGGGAAGATGCCGCATGCCAGCAGGAAAGGAACAGGAGGGCCCCGTTCTACGCTGAACAGAGGCAGAAGATGAATGCAACCAGGTGCAGAATCCATGAAAAACCTTTATTCTCCATCAGGCTCCCTACTTAAGTTATCCCAGGAAATTCCCTGTCCCCAAAACTGGATTAAGCCATAGGCGAGGATGAAAGAATGTCCTTCTTCCTCCCCTCCCTATACTGGAGCAGCTCTTCGCTCCAGCTTCTCTTGGCCCCATTAGCCGCCAACAGCCAAGGGCAAAAGGAAGTGCTGGTACCAGGGAGCAAAGATGAGGCCCTGCCTCTCTCAACGCCCTTCCATAGCACACCCGGCTTTGGAACCTGGTCTTTCCCTGGCTGCCCAAGGCCTAGCCTGGTGGTCCTGTTTTACACGGCCTGCCACTCCAGTGGTCCTCTCCTATGTAGGATGACCCTGTCAGAGATGGTTTCTCAGGCGGCATTCATCGCCATGGTACAGTCCTCTGGTTTTTCCCTTCCTTGTGGCTAGGTTCATTGGAGGTTCTGTCCCTAGAGAATTCTCTCTAGGGAGCTAGCCCTTAGGTGGTTTAGTCTTCCAGAGACCCTGGCCACCACGTTCTGCCAAGGTCTCCTCCAAGATGCCACGGTCCTCTGAGAATTCCAACTTCTGTGGCCTAGCTCTTTGGCAATCAGGCTCAGTACAGTAGCCCCTAGGTTTGAGGCCTTTGGGGGTGTGGTCATCCAGAACAGTCGTCAGCTGTGGGCAGGTCCGTCCAAACATCTGCTCCCCATGGTCTGGCTCCTTGGTGAGCCTGTTCCTTAAGGCCTGGTTATCTGATGGTGTGAGCAGCTGTGGCCCGGCCGTCCTGCAACATGGGTCCCTGTACTTGACCCCATCAGCAGTTTTATCTGTAGTGGCCAGTCTTTCTGGGCACTTGTGTGGTGGGGATCTGAGCCTCCAACTGTCATCCACATGGTCTGGCTCACTAGCGGTCCTGTCTCGGTAGGACTGGCTTTTCAGTGGCGGGCTTGTTTGTGACCTGGCCCTCTCAGAGGTCTGTGCCCTGTGGTCTGAGCACACGCTGGGCTTGTCTCTGGGCTGGCCGGTCTCTGGGGATGTCAGTGTTTGTTTGAGAATTAGGTACTGTTGGGGAAGAGAATAGACACTGTACCAGGCAGGACTGCTTGAGGACAGAGCAGGAGGCTTTTCCCTAACCCCCACCCTTGACAGGGCTCCAAGGGAGTGCCTACCTCCTTACGGCTATTGATGGCCTGTTGTAGCCACAGCAGTTCCATGGCCAAGTGGTTGTGGTGGTACTGGAGCTCCTGGAGCTCAGTCTGGCTGTGGGGCAGTCCTGGACCCGCAGCTTCTGCGAAGGAGGGAAGAAAAAAGGGAGAAGGCTTTAGGGGTACACACTAGGCCTGGCTACCCTTAAGCCCTGGCACCCTCCCTCTGTCCACCCCTGAGTTGCCCTTAACCAGGCACTGGGAAAAAAGAGAGGGATGCAGCTTATGGAGCACAAGCCTTTCACTTTTCAGATGGGAAAGCTGAGGCTCAGAGCAGGTCAGGGGCTTGCCCTGAATCGAGGCACAGAGGTACCTGGGTTCTCCATCCTTGATGCATCTCTGATCTCCCTTTGGCTGGGATTCCTGGCTTTCCTGCTGTGCTCCTCCTGAGGCCAGGGGCTGTCACCTCTGCAGAGAAGGCTCCCCGAGTTTGCGGAGCTCTCTCCTGACTTCTTCAGCATCACTTCCCCCAAGATAGCTTCTTTCTCAGGTTCTGTACATAAGAAGCTGCTCCGCAGTTCCTGCTCTGGATTTGGTGCTCTCCCTTGCGGTTTCTGGGTCCGATGGGATTTTGCCTTCTGAGAAATCATAAGTATGAAAACCTCACAGCTAAACCCTCCAAATATGTGGGTGCCAAGATTTAGCATACAAGGTGGTAAGGATTAAGGATTGGAATGTGGGGAGTGGAGTCCTCCACTGAGAAAAGCTTGTCAACAGGAAGGGTGGATTCTACCATTTCCTTGAAGCCCTTCCCCAGGTCCCTCCTACCCCTCCCTTCTTCCACTGGGTGTGTACTACCTCTGGGAGGAACTGGGGCCTGGGAATCCAGCCCTCTGTCCATTGAAGCGTGCCCAGATCACCCTCGATTTCTCGTACAACAGCCTCATACTCCTCTCGCAGACTCTGGAACTGGCGTCGGACCAAGAAGCCCCGGATGCAGGCCTGGCGTGGAGAATAAAGGAGAAAGAAAATGCTCATCACTGCAGAAGTGGGGGCATTTTGAGGATTTTCCTGGAGAGGTCGTCTCAGTGACTACGAGGGGATCTGGACACGGGAAAAGGAGAGGTGACGCTGTGCGTCAGGACAGTCCCCAGGGGTTCAAGGAAGGATGCCGAACTAGCTCCCCCTCTCGAATTTAAGGCCCTTCCCGCCACTTCCTGGATCCCGCAGGAGCTCATGGTGGGAGTGGAAGGCCTGTGGGGGGTCCGTGGGTCCCACCATTCTTCAGGGTGGTGGGGGTGGTTCGGTAACTCCAGAGGCGGGAACGAGGGTAGGTGACTGAACGTAATAGCCTTCTCTCGTTCGAAGGTCCCAATCCGAGATCCCGTGCTGCGACTCGTGCGCCCCGGGTCCGCTCCGCACCTGCAGCACCGACACCCTCCGAATCAACCGCTCCCGCTCCATCCAGGCGCCAACAGACCAGCCGCTGACCAGCGCCTGCCAGTTGCGTCACTAGTCCGCGCCGTGCGCGGCCCCGCCCCTGCCGTCTCCAAGGCAACCATCCTCCTCCCCGGCAGCTACCTGGTCGCGGGTTCCCAATTCCCACTCCCAGAGCCGCGCTGGGAATTCCAGCCCCACCCCCCGCCACGCAGAGCGGGACCGTCCAAACCGGTGTGTCGCGCAGGGGTGACTCCGGGTTCTGGGGGCCTTCTCCGAGTGAAGGCGCAAAGAGGGGAGGAAGCACACGGAGCCGGTGTCTTTTTCTGATTTAATTCCATCCAGTGCCCCCCTCCCCCGTAGCACCTGGGGGGCCGTGGAATACCCGATCGAGTCCGTAAAAAGTCACAGTTTGAAGGGGATGGGAGGAGCAGTCTGGGCCTGGGTCCGACACCTATACAGCTGATTGCTCCTCGGGTTCGGCGTTCTCGGCCAGGTGCAGCTTCTGTCTGTGCCAGTCAGTCAAGGATTGCGATGCTTTGGACCCCAGTCTTTCCAGCCGTGTCTGCCCATCCTACATTGGCTTAGTTTTCCGAACCGCACAAAGGGGCGGGGCCGGAGGACTCGGGGTGATTCGTGGTCCAGGTGGCAGTCCACACCCGCCCTTCTTGCTAGATGGCTTACTCCCTTCTCTTTGGGTCTAGATCGTGCAGGTACGTGCACTCGCACTATTTCTGGCTGAGACTAACTGGGGAGATAATCTAAATCAGTGAAAATAATTACTCAATGTCAAAAGAGTAGGAAGACAGCAGACAAGCTTTGCCATGGATTGGTGTGAGCTAAAGTACTGGCAAAGATTCTCTTTTAAAGATTTTATTTTGGGGGCGCCTGGGTGGCTCAGTCAGTGAAGGGTGGGACTCTTGATTTCTGCTCAGGTCATGATCTCAGGGTTGTGAGATGGAGCCCTGCAGGGAGCTCTGCCCTGGGCATGGAGCTTGCTTAAGATTCTCTCCCTCTCCCTCTGCTCACCCCTCTAACTCTCTTTAAAAAATTTTTTTCACTAGTGTAACTAAAAAGGTTTTATTTTTAAGTAATCCCTGCACCCAACATGGGGATCGAATTCACAGCGCTAGAGATCAAGAGTCTGAAGCTCTACCGACTAAGACAGCCAGGGGCCTCACTTGCAAGGATCTTCATAAGTAGATAAATCACATTCCCTATAACTATCTTTCTCCTGATAGTCGGGAGAAGTCTGCATGGGAGGCAGCTTGTGGCTAATTCTGCTTCGGTAGGACAGGAAGGGGGAGATGTTGGTTTTATTGTAAATACTCCTAGAGGGTGGTGGGGACAAGGAAACTGATTTTATCTGTGGGAGGTATCTCACACACACACACACACACACACACAGAGCAGGGTCCCCCTGGAAAGGATACATAGAATTACTAAGATCTTCCAGCTGTCAACAGAGAGGAAAGGAGATTTCTGTCAGGAGATGCGCCAGGCCAAACCTCAGATGCTCTGTGAGGCATCTTCTGGTGGGGGTTGGCACTCCATGCACCCCCAGTTTTTCACCCAGGGGCCAGGAATAGCCTTAGGATCATGTACCTCCCCCACCCTCTCGTGTCCCCAGGAACAGAAGCCCCCAGCCCTGACCCACATTGCTAAGCAGCTGGTCCAGGTTGCGGTCAGCCATCGTCTTCTTCTGCTCCTCAGGCAGCCCCTCAGTGACCCCGTCCTCTTCCTCCTCCTCCTCCTCCTCCTCCCCACACACGTCCAGGCTGAAGTGCAACCGGGCCAGCTTCTCCTGCATCTCCCGCACGTGCTCCAGCTGCTCAAAGGAGCATTCCTTCCCTGGACAACACCTGTCTGAGCCCTGGGAGCAGCTTGGGACCCTGGCCCCAGCCGCAGCCCAGGGACCAGGCCCTCCAGCCCCACACACACACCCTCTCAGTCCAGCCCCTGGGACTCACCAAAGGCCTGCAGCCGGCCTGAGTGAAAATCATTGAGCAGGTTCAGCAGTCCCCCCTCCATCTCATAGACGTCGGTCACCTCGGTCAGAAAGGAGTGCTGCAGGGGGGTGCCTGCAGAGCCGCCCCCACTTCCGGCCAGCACGGGGCGACATTTCTCCTTGCCTACCCTGGGTGGGGTGGGCATGACCAAGGAAGGTCACAGGGTGAGGGCGGCCAGGTACCGAAGGTTTTCATGCCATCGGACTATGCACTAATTCACCTTCCTATCTACTCCCAAACAGAAATGGATGTTTGCTCTTCTGGCCCTGCCCTGGGCGCCAGGACTGGGAAGTGGGTGAGGAGGGGTAGGGAGAAGAGTCAAAGGAAGTCTTTTTCTTCAGGTGACACTCAGCCAGAACTGGGGCTGGAGGGGGGGCTTTGGGGCTTCTGTCCAAGCCCTGCACTCATTCCTCCCATGACCCTGGAGGAATCACTCATCCTCCCTGGGGACAGTTACTCCTTATTGCCATAACAGCCATCTTACCTCTCCCCAAAATGTCTTTCCGCTCCTCTTCTATTTCAAAACGGTTTTGAATTTTCCACTGTCCCCAGGATAACCCTGAAGGACCTTTCTCAGCCTGCCCCCCCTTTCCTGTTGCATTTCCTACTGGTCTTGCTCCAGCCCTGGGCTTCAGCGACACCCCCCCTGCAGCCGTCCCCAGACGGATCTGTCGGGCAGATAGTGTGCAAAGCCACAGGGAGGCACAGTCAAGGGAGAAAGAACACTTTGTGTTTCATGGGAAACAAACATGGAGACCTTGTACGGTAGAATGCAGATCCCCAATCATTTAGAAAAATTAAGCAAAAATTCAGATTGTACATCTGGGTCTCCCTTTACCATCTCTTGCTCCATGACACTCGAGGGCAAAAACCACCTGTGGTTCTGGGAACCTCCCAGGCTATATTTTTCTTCCATACTTCTGTCAGGCAATTTCTTCAGCTTAGACATTCTCTCTCTCTCTCTCTCTCTCTATCTCCAGTGCCCTACAGCCTCTCTTTCTGGCATCGCTCACTGCCTGTTCTGAGGAGATCCCAGTCACCCATCTGGCCTTTCCCCTATACCTGAGGACAGAGACTGGGGCCGAGGCATCTCTGAGTTTTCTCTCAGCGGCCCGTGGGGGCAGCCCCAGGAAAGGCATCAACTGTTGCTAAGGCTAAGGCTTAAGCTAAGGCTGTCTTTACCTTCCCACAGGGCTCAGCCCAGAGTTGGGGTCCCTCCCTCCTTGCCCTGCTTTCCTTCTGTACCCACCTCTTGAACTTGGCCCGCTGCTTGGGGGACGGCAGATGAGGGAGTCCCAGGGCCAAGGAGCCGCTGTGGCTGGTGGGCACGGCGACCCTTCGTAATGTGCCAGGGGCCTGGGCTGGCTGGGTCAGGCAGGGCTTGGGACTCCTTTTCTTCTTCTTGTCCTCCATTGGATCCCGGCTGGACCTCAGGTCCCACTGAGATAGTGAGAGGCAAAGCCATCACTTCACCCGGCCACCCCTGAGGCTGCAAAGGAAGGGCCCTGGGACCTTCCCACCTTCCCCTCATAACTGCCAGGGTCTTGGTCCTCTCCTCTGTCCACGATGGGCAGGGCCCGGATGCCAGTGCCTTCCTGCTAGGGTCTTGGATTTGTATTTGAAGGAGCTTCCAGGGCCCACCCCAGGTCCCCCACCTGCCCTCCAGCCCTGGCCTGAAAACCTGGCCCCTGCCTGGAAGGGCTGGACCAGACACAATTGTCCTGCTGCTGCTGGGATTTCCTGTCCCAGGAGCTGTTGGGGCGGAGCTGGCAGGGGAAACGGAGAGGGAGGCAGAGTGGATGTGAGCCGGCAGGAGGCCAGTGGACGATTAGGGGTGTCTTAACTAGGTTCTCTTGTGTTTGATCAGCTGTCCAGGCAGATGCTGACAAATCCCATCGGCAAGGGAAGTGACCGAGGTGTGGGTGGGGGCGCCTGGGAAGACTTCAGTGTCAGGCATTCACCACCAGAGGATGGGTGATGGGGCTCACTGTGGGTACCCTGCCACTCAGACGCCAGCATCCCTCCTCTTCTGCCCACCCCAATCTCAAACATCAGGCAGTTCCCAGAAGTTCTCTGGGACGGGCTTCCCGCCTCTTCCCCCTCCCTGGTCAGAAAGGCCCCGCTCCGCTTCAGCTGCAGCCGGAGGTGGGGGGCTGGGTGGTCCGGCAGCTGGCTGCCTCGGCCTCCAACAATGGCTGCGCCTGTGGCTGGCACTGCTCGGCCTCCAGGCCAGCTCCACCCCCAAGCCTCAGGTCGGCTGAGGTCCTCCTGGAGGAGGCCCTTCCAAGGGCTTTCCCAAGCTGTTTGTTCCAGGCTGCCGCCACCAAACCTCGGTCTGTGCTCTGGGATGGTGGGGCCACTGGGGGCAAACTGGCACCTGGCTGGCCAGCCCCAGGGGGGTGTGGTGGAGGGGAGACCAGAGCATCTCCTCTGTCTTTCATTGCAGTGGCTTGGCCCAATTAGGGACTTGATAGAAGAAATGGAGCAGGAGCCCCTGTTCCCCAGGAATGGCTGGGGGCCGCCTGGGATCTATTTCCCAAGCTCAGTCTTCAAACCCGCGTGCCAAATGGATCGCTCAACTGGGGAGCCAGGATCTGAAACGCAGCCTCAGATCCGGGACGTTCCGCACCCCCGACACATACCCTGGAAGGGGGCAACTGACCTGGAGGTGTGGGGTCTGGAGTGGGGTTTCCGTGCCGTTCCCTCCGCCCTCAGCACTCTCCTCCTAGGGAACTGAGCAGATGGATGTAGAGCTAGCGGGAGGTAATTTGCATTTAAAGAGAAAGTGACCTTCTTTAGCAGTTGGGATACGGAAGATGGGAGGAGCCTGCGACAATTACTAGGCTGTCGCTCTCACTTGACGTTCCCTTCCCAGCTGAGCTAAAGTGACTAACGGTTGTGTGATGGCAATCTAAAAACCTCACTTTCCCATCAGTTTGGGGAGAAGCTACAGTCCCTTACAAAATGGTGGTGGTTTTGTCAGAAGGCCAGGGTGGGGAGATAGGGATGCGGGGCAGAAAATTTAAATAAGCATGTAAGATATATATAAGCATACGAGATATATATATAGAGAGATATATATATATATACATGAAAACATGAAAACATATATATGCAGCAGCAGCAGCAGGAAGAAACTGCAAGAGAAGACAGCCGTCTATTGAGTCGAGGTCCCCTATTAAGCACTTTATGTACATTTAATCCTCATAACAATCCTGCAGGAACATACTGTCACCATCCCATTTGCTGAAAGTAAACTACATTTTGAGGGTAATATCACTCATCCCACGATATCCAGACACCAGTAAGCAGTGGGGGCTATGTTCAGCTCCTGAGGAAGTGATGGGACCAAGCCTCCTCCCTCCCCACCCCCAGGTCGAAGAGACACGTGTGGGGAGCATCAGGTCAGAGGGACATCAGTGCGATTACCTGGTGCTTGACCCCAGCCCCCAGGAGTGAAACCTGAATGCCACACGGAGACTGAGCCAGCACTGCCCGTGCTACCCGGGAGGCCAGATCAATGGAGTAGCTATTTAAAGACCTGGCAGAGGCTCCTAGCTCCAGTCCCCAGAGAACCATCTGATGCAACAGGGGACAGGCTTATCCTTGGCCGGGCTGCCCTGCAGTTTCAAATAGCTGCCCCAGGGCAACATACACAGCACCTTGGACCCCTTTCCCTCCCATGGTCAGGAGCAGCTTCCCGGTACCTGGGCCTCCGGATAAGTTAGGGAGTGATGGGCTGTTTCCACAGGCACCCATGCAGGGATCTTTCCCAGGTGCTTCCAACATCCAGACTGTTTCTGAAGGGAAGGCATTAATTCAGGACTTTTTCAATAACCAGAGGCTGGAAGGAGGGGTCTGCAGAGGCAGAGAGGACAACCTGTAGGCTGCTCTCTTCCAGTGCCTACAGGGCCACCAGGGCTCTTCCAGGAAAGTGGTGGTGGGTGCAGGAGCCCCCTCTAGGGTGAAGCTATCCTCAGAAATGTGTGGCTTGGGAGTTTCAAGAGTTGGGGTGGCCTCCCTGGACTCCTTCCAAAGGATCTTTGACTGGGGTCAGCCCTGAAAGGTATCAACCTGTTTAGACCCTGATCAGAAGGAGCAGAGGCTCCAAGGAGACCATCACAGCCAGTGTAAACACAGCTGCTTGTGGACACCTGGAGGGAAGGGCCCTTTACTTGTCTCTGCTGTTTGTTGGGCACTCATGTATCATCCTTTGTGCCAGGCCCACCCAGGCTCCAGAGAGAATAGGGTGCTGGTGCAGGAGCCCCAACTTTTGCACCTAGGCTTGGCAGGGTGAGCAGAAATGTCTAAAAACTCAGCCCATTCTTCAGAATTGCATGCAGAAAGTGGTCTTCTCAAGGAAGGTACAAAATCAAAGGAATTCACAGGTAGGCCAATGCCAAAGGGTGCTGCCCATGGCAGACAGCCCTGAACAGCAGTGATCCAGGCATCTAATTTTGGGCCTCAATTAGCCTATGTCTAGGTTTCTGGTCTCCTTACCTTATACTTCCTCACAGATCTTCCTAATGCCCTATTCAAACACCTTCAGTGGTTCCTCCCGTCCTCTGATCTAGCCCAGGTTCCTTAACCTGGCACATGGACTCCTGGTGACCTCCTCCCCCTACCTCCTGTGCACCTGCATTTCTAGGTGAACTACTTTGCTACTAAATCAAGTTGTCAAACTTCTACCTGCTCTTTAGGTCCTAAGGCCCTTCCAGGTGTCCACCCCTAGCTCCTTGCTGAAGGAGACAGGGCTTCCTTCATGGTTCCACAGCACCACTGCTGTTTATCTAGAAGTATCTTCTGGGGGCTCAGATGGTTGTCTGCCTTCAGCTCATGACATGACCCTGGGGTCTTGCGATGGAATCCCACATCGGACTCCTTGCTTGGCAGGAAGCCTGCTTCTCCCTCTGCCTACAAGTCCCCTTGCTTGTGCTGACAAATAAAATCTTAAAATTGGGGCGCCTGGGTGGCTCAGTGGGTTAAAGCCTCTGCCTTCGCCTCAGGTCATGACCCCAGGATCCTGGGATCAAGCCCCGCATTGGGATCTCTGCTCCTCAGCGAGCCTGCTTCCTCCTCTCTCTGCCTACTTGTGATCTCTATTAAATAAAGCCTTTAAATATTAACAATGATAAAAAAATAAAAGTATCTTTCTCCAGGGCACCTGCTGGCTCAGTCAGTAGAGCATGTGAATGCTTGATCTAGGTGTAAATTCAAGCCCCACATTGGGTGCAGAGACTGAGACACGCAGGCACCCCACAGAGATCACTTAAAAAAAGAAAAAAAGTATCTTTCTTCATCACTAGCCTGACCCTTCATGGGGCAGGGCCAACTTTTCATTGAATGAAAGAAATCTGATGCTTCTATGTATATGAGCATCACGCCAACTTTGCCAAGGGCTCTGCTCAGGCAGTTCCAATGAATTTGTGTGTGACTTGGCAGCTGGGGGGGGGGCACTCTGGAAGATGCCTGCTACAGCACAGCCAAAGGCTCCGGAGCGGATCCAGATGAGTCAGTGATGGCTAGATGGATCCAGAAGCACCAAATGACCACAGAGGTCAGGACAGAAACCAGTAAGGCAACAGACGCTTTATTTAATGTGGTTTAAAATACATCAAAATCAAGTCCCTGGCTGTTGTGAATACCAAAAGGAGGAGGAGAAAAAAAAAAAAAAAAAAAAAAGCTGTCAGCACAGCTTTAAAACAAACCTGGGTGGCCAGGTTGGGCCATATGGGAAGCAGTTACAGGGACAGAAGGCAGCACCCCTCCCCCAGGCAGGTGCCTGGCTGTCCCTGGGGTGACTGCCTCTGTGCTGCTCACCTGGGGGTGAGCTGGGGGGCTGGGGCAGCAGCTGGAGTCAGCTCAGCAGGCTTTGGCCCTCCCCCCCAGCCACTAGGGCAGTTCCACTGGCCTCTGGGTCAGCCCTCAGCAGGGCCACTGTGATGGGAGCGGTGGAGTGGAAATAACCATCTTCACAGACAGAACATTCTCTTACAGAAAAAGTGCCTGAGCTCAGCCCATGGTCCAAAAACCTCATGGAAAACAAAATTAAAACGAAGTGCGGCTGATACCTCTCAAGAATCTGGTGTATGTGAGGCTCTCAGCCGGGCAAGGTCCAGAACACAAATTATGGTCAGCAGGGCCAAGGGCTCTGGGCGGTGAGCCACACCAGCAATGGTCCCCTGGAGGAAGCGTGAGCAATCTTAAGAATCCAACACAGCTCTTGGTCCTAAAACTGAGGTCATGTGCATGGGACCTGCCCTGGAGAGGAAGGCATTGGCCTTCATCCAGTTAGGCCACCTTCCCTGCATGGGGCCCAGGCTCATGGCTGGCGAGGGCAGCGCCCAGGCACCTGGGCGGACTTTGGAAAGCAGAACAAGCAGAGCAGCTGTAGTGATTAGTGTGTTTTGGTCAATGGAGAGAAGAGAGACAGGAAGAGGGAAAATGGGATCCTCATCCGTAGGCTGACCTGGACACCTAGACATGGCTGGAGCTGAAAGCAAAGGTTCTACTTGCCCAGGGCATGGATACAGGATCCGGGAAGCCTGGCTGGGCCACCTTGCTCACTACAGCCCCACAGGAACTAGACCGGCTCTCTGTGGGTGGCTGTGCCGTACAGTTGGGACCCCCCACACCGCCACACTGGGCTCCCACAGCCAGCCCCTCAACCCCATGGGCTCTATGAGGTAGCTGAAGCAAGGCAATCGCACGGGCTACACTGCAGGCCTCCTGCTCTTTCAGCCAGACAGGCAGAAGCTTGCTCTTCCCTGCGCTTCCAGAGCCCAGCAAACCCTGCACGGGGCTGGCAGTTCTTGTGTGTCTCAGACTGACACAGGGGCTGGGAGGGTGGGGCAAGGAAGACCTTACTGGGCAAGGAAAAGGCAGGTCCAGGGACCACTCCAGAGGGCAAGATCTTAGGGAAACACTTCTCCACAGGAGAGCAGGATATACCAGGGACTAGCGGGAAATACTCAGAGGCCAATCGATGGTTGCTGCCATGGGGGCAGTGGAACAATGGTGTGCAGAGGTGTGCCGTTCATTTGCCATCTCTGGTCTAAGTTGTAACATGTTCAGGAGCCCTCTGCACTCTTCGTGAACCTGTTTATGGGACGGACTGAAGTGAAAGGCATGGAGAGCCAGCTGGGAGTTGAAGATGAAGGGACCTGCAGGACACTGAACTAGCTTCAAGGAAATTCAGCAAGAAACAAAAGCTCCCCCATGCTGTGCCTCCTGGTCTGTGGCTCCCTCAGCTACACTGAAGCCAAGGCCCAGGTAGAGGTGGGGTGTAGTACCTCAAGCCCAGCTGAGCCCAGCTTCCCAACCCATGCCTCATTCTGTTGTTCCAGAAAATTCTTCCGTACAGACTGGTGAATACCCTGGCAAGTATGCAACCAGTAGAACCTTCAGGCCAAAGTACCAAGTACTGGGGTGTGAGGGGGCCACCAGACGCAAACATGTCAGCCATTCTGTGGATTTCTGAGGCTCATCAATTGTCAAGTCTCACGCTGTCCCTCAGGTGTCAGACAAGAGCTGGGGGCTCCCCCACAGGAAGTGAGATGTCAAGGTCATACTCCAGCTTATTCCTTAGGCAATGGAACCAGGGCAAATCTCAAGGATTGCACATTAAAGGTGGGGTCAGAAACAGAAACAGACTCCTAAGCCAAAGGGACAGTTGGGCACAGGGCCCAGCAACTGCTCCATGGACAGCGGTGATGGGCATCAGCAATGGCCTCCCAGGACTGAAACACACAGGCAAGCTTGTGGTAAAATCACCAGAGGCCCTTCCCTTCCTCCTAACCGCAATCCGATTTCACCAGACAGGAAAGCTCAGCACCAGCGTGGCAAAGATACCAGGTGGGGCGGTGAGGCTGGGGTGCACTGGAATCCAACTGTGCCAGCAACCCTCCTCCTTCCTCAGATCAATACACACACTGTCATGTGCAAAACAAACAAAAAACACAAAAAAAACAGAAACCTTCAGAAAGCATCCTTTGGGTGGTCTCGTCATTTGTGCAGGCTAGAGAGGCACCTGTGAATGATAAGGCTACTGAGAAGCATTGCCGGCCTGGTCCTGGCACCACCTGAGGGCTCCCTAACCGTGTACCAGCCCACAGCCACTTTCTCCAGGTCCCCCGTCCAGAGCAGGATAGCAGTTGGATCCCCAGCTCTGCGGGCCCTGCCCAGGGACCCCCTTCTCCAGGTTGAGAGAAGTAAAGGAGCCTCCAGGGCAGAGGCTCTAGGAGAGCCAGAGTTGCCCAAGCCCTGCTAATGGGGGAAACGCAGTCAAGGCCCAAGTGTGTCACTTGTCACAAGCCCTGAAGGGCAGAAGGGGGGGGTAGTGTCTGAGCCTCAAGCAGGCAGGGGAAGGCTCAAGTCACTTGTCCTGCCAGCTCACTGGGACAGCAGCTACAAATGGCAGCTCCTCTTTGAGACTCTTCAGCTCAGAGAAAAGTCAGTGACTTGACCCGTACACACCCCCACCTCCAGTGGAAGCCCATGTTCCGCAGAGAGAGAGGAATGTAGGAGGCCTTGCACATATGCCGTATGTATGTAAAACTGACCCACAGAATCCAAAACCGCAGACTGTCAGATGTCAGCCAGGTCGGAGCACCCTGGGCCTCAGCACCGGACTGCTGCGCGATGGGAGCCCTGCCTGGGCTAGGCCTGGGCTAGGCCTAGTTCGCTCCCTTCCCAGCACGCCCCCCGTGCCAGGTTCCCTAGGCGGTGGTGGAGGTGGGCTCCTGGGGCCCCACTTGGACAGGTGTTTCTGTGCTCGCTGCTCCTGGGCAGCAAGGAGCTTCTGAGACCCTTGGGGAGCTCGGTGACTGGGCCCCAGGACCCTCACAACCCTGCTCTCTGGAGGCAGTTGTGGCTTCTGGTCTTCGCTCAGGGCCGCTGTCAGGGAGGGAGCCCTGGCCACCAGCACTCAGGTCCTGTACCCTTTTGTTCAGGTCGTTGCGCTCTGTCTGCAGTGCCCGGCACAATTTCTCCAGCCGCTGGATTTTCACCTGTAGGCCCTCCAGCTCTTTGTCCCGGAGTGTTTTCTAGGGAAAGAAATGGGGCCAGAGTCATGTGGTAGAAAACATTCACACTTGAATGACACCGGGGGCAGATCAGAGCCCAAAGCTGGTTCCTTCCTAGTGAAACAGCCATGATGTGTGCCAAGGCCTGCTGCTGGCAGGGGGTGCTGCAGTGGAGAAGGGCGTGGCTTGAAGACAACGTATTTCTCCATTTATCCACCAGATGACACAAAGTCCGACCTGGCTTTTGGAGCCTATTTCCTTATCTGTTAAAATGGACTATGAGGGCACCTGGGTGGGTCAGTTGGTTAAGCATCCAACTCTTGATCTGGGCTCAGGTCAGGATCTCAGGGTTGCAAGACGGAGCCCGTCAGGTTCTGTGCTCAGCAAGGAGCCTGCATGAGAGTCTCTCCTCTCCCCTCTGCTCACACATGCGCCTGCACACACTGTCTCTTTCTCTCAAATAAATAAATCTTTTTTTTTTAAGGTTTTATTTATTTGAGAGTGCATGCACGTGTGCACAAGGGTGGGGTGGGGGGAGAGGGACAGAGAGAAAAGCAAACACCCCGCTGAGTGGGGAGCTCAACTTGGGGCGATCCCAGGACCCTGAGACTGAAGTCAGATGTTAGAAGTCAGATGCTTTACCAACCGAGCCACTCAGGTGCTCCTAGACAAATAAATCTTAAAAAAAAAAAAAAAAAAGGGACCGCTGACATCAACTTCACAGATCTTGAGAAGGTTCAATGAACTGGCATTATGTAAGACAGTCAGAAGGGTCTAGTATATAGTAGCTACTCCAGCAATTAATTCTTTTCTTCTGTATCTCAGACCATGAAATCAAATTACCTAAGCTACTCTGCATATGAACGGTATGCATCACTGGTACCCCTTGGTTTTTTGGTTCTTGAATTTCCCATTGGTTCTCTTTGCTTCTACTGCAGACCTACCACTGGGCTCACCATCTCCCATGGGGCAATAGTTGGCAATGCCTTTGGACCTGGACAGATAGACACGAGTCCCAGCTCCATCTCATGCCAGCTGCATGACTTACTGGTAGAATGTAGAGGGGAGGGCCCAACATTCAAAAACTGCAACCCTGTCTGCCACCTCTCCCCCCAGCTGCAGAGTACATTCAGCCCACCTCCTCAGCCATCTCAAGCAGGGCCTTGTTGCTGCTCTCCCACCGGGACCGGTACATGGTGGTTTCTTTCTCCAGCTTCTTGATCTTCTTAGTCATCTGGGTTATGGGACAGACAAAAGGAAATGGTCAGGCGGCCAGACCATCTGTGTATCCAAGATGGGGGAGCAGTCCCAAGGAGGCAAGGTATTACAGTGCCTCCAGTGCAACCGCAGGACATTGCAAGGTAGATGCCACCACCACCAACAGGGAATGACAAGGCTGCCCCTTCTCTAGGACAACCTGGAGGACGCACAGGTCAGTGATGCTTCCTTCAGAGGCGGGGTGAGGCTCTGATCCCTCCTTACAGGCCATCCTTGGTATCAACCACAGTTCGTGGAAACAGCTCCCTAGGAGGCACCCCAGGGGCGGGATCTTCCCCTGCAGCCACACCCAGCCTGGACACTGTTACCTTCTCCATCTCCTGTTTGAATGTTGTGAACACCTCACTGCTTTTGGAAAGAGTGTTCTGGAATTCCTCAAACTTCTCTGTGTACAGGGCCAGCTGGGTGAGGAAGAAGCCCAGAGATAAGATTAGGCCTCTCTGGAGGGCACTTCTGGTTAGCACAGTCAGACCCATCCATGGACCTCTGACCCAACAATTCTATTGAGATGCCATTTTTCTTTTTTGTTTTGTTTTTTTTCTTTTTTTAAACAATTATATTTATTTCACAAAGAGAGTGAGAGAGCACAAGCAGGGGAGTAGGAGGCAGAGGGAGAGGGAGAAGCAGGCTCTCTGTTCAGCAGGGAGCCTGACTCGGGGCTCGATCCCAGGACCCTGGGATCATGACCTGGGCCAAAGGCAGACGCTTAACTGACTGAGCCACCCAGGCGCCCGAGATACCATTTTTCTTTAAAACAAAACAGTAACTATGTTGTTGGAAGGACAGAATCCAAAATGTTAAGCTTAGAAAGCAGGATTTGGGATGACTTATATTTTGCCTTTGTATGTGTTTTCAAACTTTTCTTCTAAAATTAAGTACAATTAATGTAATTAAAAAACAGCCGTTCCATCCCTGCCTCCTCAAAAGCTGCACGACACTTGCAACTAGGAACAAAGTCCTTCAAGCTCACCTAGCCACCTGGTCACCACCACAGCAGCTGGGCGGGTCCAGAGAGAACAAAGGCTCAGCAAGGTCACACAGCAGTCAAGGTGGTCCTAGAATGAGGGTCCCCATTTCCCTCCCCCAGGATGGGGCCCAGCAAGCGGACCTCAGAGGCACAGGGTCAGGACCCACTCTGTCTCACCTGCTGCTTCAGGTGGGTCTCCTGCTGCTTCATCAGCTCGCACATCCTCTGGGACTCCACTGCCTCTTTGAGGAGCTATTTCCAAGACAGGACCCCAGATCCTGTCAGAAGCCCCTGAGGGGCTGTTTGGCCTTTTTTAGCCGTATGCCCCAGGACCCACTGAAGCGTGCTGCTCTCTGACTGAAGCAGCACCCTGGTCCGGCCTGGAACCAACCCCTCCCTGACAAACCTGACTATGAGCTGTGCCAGAGCCTAACCCACCTCTTCCCAGACGCCCCACCCTCAGGGCCCGAGCCTCACAAAATCCTTCTCCCGCTGGTGCCTCTCCTCTGCCTCCTTCAGCATCTCCTGGGCCTGCTGGAGCTTGGCGTCCACCAGCTGCTGCTGCAGGTCCTTGTGTTTGAAGACTTTGTCGATATGCTGCAGCAAAGCATGGTGGGAGGGCCACCTGTCAGCAGCTCCCTTTTGCAGGGAGGTCTGGGGGCTGCAGGGATGACCCATCTGCAGAGACCCGGGTCCCCTACCCAGCCTCCCATCTCATTCTGACATGCTGGACTCCGCGTGTTCCACAGCACGTGGGCCCCACATCTCTGGAAGGTCTACTTCCCAACCTCACCTTATTTCTCTCCAGTCAGTCCTGGGTGTGCAAAGGGATGAAATCGGCTCCCAGAAAGCCAAGTAATAAATACACTCAAACCTCCGACCCCAGTAGATCACTCTGCGGGACTAACAACCCTCACTTTTGGAGCCCAACTCCCTTGTAAATGGGAAGAAAGGACAAAAACGACACCTGCACCAACACAACAACTTAGCCCCATCAGCAAAGATCTGCCCCATCTAGAGACCAAGACTAGATGTGCGAATTTCAAGGCAGTCCTAACTGCTGGAGGGCCCTGGGAGCCAGAAGCGGGGGAGACAGAAGGAATGGGGAGGAGGTGGTGGACTCAGGGTGGCTTCAAAGGTCAAAGCAGCTGAGAAAAGGCACGTGGAGACTTCACCTACATTCTGGATAGCAAAGGAAAGGTGGCCAGAGTGAGTGTTGGCCGGACGGGGCTCCTCACCTCCTCCCGCAGCTCGTACTGCTCGATCAGCTTCTTGAGCCTCTCCGCCAGCTCCATGTTCTCCTGGCGCAGCTTGGAGTTGCGTTCGTTGTGCTGTTCCATCTGCAGCTGAATGTCATTCAGCGTCACCTGGAAGTGTGAGGTCACCTCCTTGCGCTTCTCCTCTTCCTCCCGGGCCCGCTGCACGCCTTCTTCCTGGGCAGAGAAGTCAGCCCTGGCTTCATCACCTGCAGCTCCCCAGTCAGCCAGGGTCTGTACCGACAACCCTCCCTGCTCTCAGAGTGAGGAGCAGCCAGGTTCCAAGACGTCACGCAATACGGGCCCCCAACGGAGCCCGTGTCCATCAGGGAGAGATTCTCTCCCTAGAAAGATGCAGACGTATGCTTAAGTGCCATTCTAGAGGAACCTGGATCTCCCCATGCCCATTCGTTCAGACTTCAGGTTAAGCAGTCTTGTTTCTGTGTTTTCATTTCTCACCTCTCCCCCTCCACTCCCAACTAGTTAAAATTCAGTAGCGGCCAGGTCGGTAAGACTATGCAGGATTAGGCATGTAGACACTACTGGTGGGAAAGCAATGTGGCACAATCTATGAAAATTTACAACGTAAATTTCACTTCTGAGGTTTATCCTATGGGTACATTGTGTACACTGAGCTGGGGATATACAGGAGAACTTCCACTGTAGCTCTATGGATGCAGGAGTGTAAACTTAGAAACCACCCAGCAATTCCTTCACTAGGGCGCTGATAAAATAAGGTATGTGAAATCAATGATGCTGTCAAACAGAATGAGACAGCCCTAACTAAACTGAGGGGAAAGACAGCTAGGCATTCTGGGAGTGAGAAGCCGGGACAGGATGTGAAACGATACACAGACGGCGGTTCCGTTTAGAGGACCCTGTGGAGAATCACGGACAGACACAGTTAAGTCTGTAGGCTGCACTTAACTCACGTGTAAGAAGGTGTACTTCTAGTGGTTTCTGCTGGACACTGGGATTGAGGAGGGTGGGCAACTAACTGTCACTTTTGATTTGCTATACTTTTGTCACCTTTGGATCCCTCATACCTTGTTTGTGGTAAAGTTGAAATTTGTCAAAGACCAACTAAAAATGAGCAAAATGCGTGGCAAAATACCATGTATTTGCTGACCCAAATATGTAGTAAATAAAGGATCCAGAGGTCATTAGCAGTGACTGGGCATTAACCAAACTGACCCCCACCCAGGAGAAGAGAAAAGACCCAGCATTCCAGACTAGGGCCGGGAGAGGAGCCACCCACCAGCTTTCTGAACAATGCGGAAGCCCTGCCTCCGGGGCTCCCTTTGCACCTCAGTCCTCACCTTACCTGAAATAAGTATGGGGCAAGTGGTAACAAGCAGCTGCCTCCAAGGTAGGGTGATGCTGGGGACATCTACATCTCTGCCAAAAGCCCACCAAAGAAAAGTGGAGGTCAAGGGAAGCCACGTGGCAGGAGCCAGCCCACCTTGAGGGAGCGGTTGTGGCGCTGCAGCTCACGACACAGGCTCTCCAACTTGCTGCGGGCCAGCACGGCCTTGCTGTGCTCCCCGCGCAGGTGGTCCTTCTCCTGCACCAGCTGGCTCTGCTTCTTCTGCAGCAGCTTCATCTGCTTCTGCGAGTTCCGATGCTCCTCCAGCTGAGGACGGGGAACTCGAGTAAGTGCTGCGCCGCGCTCTTCCTCAGGGACCCTTGCCCTCTCCCAACTCCAGCTGTCGACAGCCCCCACTGGACACCATGCGGGTGCTTTACACACTTCTCTGATAACCCCAAGGGCCCCAGTGCAAGGATACAGAAATGGGCACTTGGGACAGGCAGGGGTGCAGAGGCTGCAGGCCCCAGCTTCTCTGTGCTCTGACTCCAGAGACAAAGTTTGCAAGGCTCTCAACTCTTGGGACACTCATGCCCTATGCGGAGACCCCCTACCACCCCTTCTTGTACTCAACAGACCCCCATCACTCCCACTTGCTGCTCCGGGACTCAGCATCATTTCTCTCCTCAATGTGATTGCTGTTAACATTCTGGCCTTTTCATTACGGTTAGATCTTAAACTTCTCCTCAGACCCTGCCCTCTCCTCCAGCTCAGCTACCCTCCTGCAAGCCCATTCAACATGGATACAGTGCTACTCAATGATGTAATGACAGCTCTTCCAGAGGCCACAATAAAAAGGTAGAAAGTAGATGAAATTGACACTAGTAAAATATTTACTTAATCTAATATCTGAATCTTATAATATTCCATCTGAAATCAATGTAAAAACTTTTGAGTATTTTATTCTTTCCCTTTCCTTAGATATCTGAAATCCAATGTGCACCTTAGGCTCAGAGCACATCCAAATCCAGACTACCCACATGCATTTCAGCTGACTAGTGGTTACAAATATCCTGGACAGTCAGACCCAGATTTTGTCATTACCCAGAAGGACACACACCTCCATTATCTCATCCCAGGGCAGGACCACTATCAACTGTCATTCTCGCTCCTTCCCTCCAGTATCTGTGGTCCCAGAAAGTCTACCATACTGGACCTCCAGCCCAATGACCAACCATCCTTTTGCTTTCCTTAAACTCTCTTTTAAATAATCACTGATCTTCTTACCTGTCTTAGATTTCTTACACCCTTAGCTCTCTTGCCCCTTTCTTATGCCCCTTTCTACCAACAAAACTCCAACCCTGATATACCAGCCTTATGATTCCTCTGCGCCAGCACTGAAGCAGACTTGCCTGAAGTATCTCACTTTAAGCTCATGACCACCCCTCTGGGGCAGACCCTTGTCTGCCACGTGGCCCAACTATATTCCTTATGCTAGTCACACTCCTCTTCCAGAGAACTATTTTGTCCTTGTCCTCCTCCACCTCAACTCTCCTCTCTCCCAGCAACAACTATCTTTCTCATTTCCCTGAGAATGGAAGCAACCAGAGGCACAGGGGCACAAGCCCCGCCTCTGCCCAACTACCTCCACCTGCCCTCTCCTGCAGTCACTAGGACCTGGCCGTGCTTCCTACCACAGCCCATCCTCCCGCTCAGGCCCCTACCTCATCATCTACTGGAGAGTATCACTCTGGCGACTCAGCTCCTCCTCTCTTCATCAGTCTTTCTCTGGCTGGCTCATTCTGAAGGGGTGGTATCTTTTTCACATCCTGTCCCTTATTTAATCATTATAATAACCCCATCAGGCAGGTATGATTTCCCCAATTTTACAAATGAGAAAAATTCCCTATAGGAGAACTCCAGCTAATACATGTGAATGGAGTGAAAGAAGTTAAAAATAAGTAGTCAGGAAATGACCCTCAGTGGAGAAACACATTCATTCAAATTCTGATGGCAACCTGACAAGGGAGGAACCTGGCTGGACCCAGGTTTTCTCAATGTCATGAGAAAAAAGTTAGCAGTAAGATAAAGACTATTTTGGAGTAAAAGGAAAAAATGTTGTAAGGACCCAATGCATTAAAAGGACTTCCTCTAGACCCTGACACTTTAAAGAACCGGGGAGAGGTGTGTGTTAGAGAGTATCACGTGATCAGCACCAATCATAAGTATGAGGACGGCGCTGTGCATTTCCACGTTTTGGGGAGATGCACACTGAAGCACACAGGTGTGAGATGACGTGGTATCTGGGACTGGGGCCAGGAGCAGGGTTCTACCACTGGAATGTGAAGGGTCTCTTTTTATAGTCGGCCTGGAAGAGGCCAGCTGGGACCTGACTCCCCAAGTGACCGACAGGAAAAAGGCTGAGAGAGAGGCTGAACAGTAAGTAAGCCACCCACCTGCCCCTGCACCCTCAACCCCATGCCAGGTGGCCTGCTGACTTTCCGAGGCAGGGCGGGTGCAAGGAGAAGGGGGAGAACTGACCAGTTCAGCATACTTCTTGCACAGAGCTGCCAGCTTCTCCTCTGGGGTGCTCAGCGTGTTCAATGTCTGCATCAGCAAGGTGATCTCCTTCCCTGCAAAGCACAGGGAGCAAAAGCATGTACCCCCTTCTCTGGGGAATCTCCCCAGGCCTCGGCCCACACTCTTAGGCCCTGAGGCAGCCCTCCACCACTATACTTGATCTTGTTTGTTGAACTGGCTGTCATCCTGTCAAACCATGTGCTTCATGAGAGTGGCCGCCAACTCGCTTCTGCCTACTGCTGTGGCCCCAGTGCCGCCCAGTACTGTCCCTAGTGCCCACTGCAGAGGACGTGCTCAACAAACCTTTGACAGACAAATGACTCAGGCTATGTGGACACTCCGTGGTGAACACTGGGGGTAGGTGAAAAAAAAATGCCTGCTCTACCAGCTGGAGAAAAAAAGACATCCCATTGGCCAATTAAGTGCTACTGTGTTGATGCAAGGAAGGCCCTTCTGAAAGAGGACAGATGCAAAAAAGGAACAGGTCTCGCTGGGAACGACTAAACTCTTGTCAAGAGAGGCAGCCAAACAGTGAACTTTATTTATTTGTTCTCTCCCAAACACTGACCTTTAAAATGACTAAACCTTCCAATATTTGATCCCAAGATTAAGAAACAAACAAAAAAAACCCCACAAAACCCTCTTCCAATTAGAATGACCAGCAGAGGGTGCGGAAGTAACGACTAAGACATGGGTATAATATCACTTAACTTTGATTCTTTAACATTCACACCACGGCTCTCCCCCACCCCCAATAACTTTCTCTCTCTGTGCCTTAGTCAAGGGCTCTTCCTTCTGTCTCCCTGGAGGGCTGCTGTACATAGTACAGCACCAGCTCCTCAAGTGTCAACCCCAAGAGGCTCGAAAGATCAGTGTGGAGATTGCAAGCACCAGCACACAGGCTAGATCCAACCCCACACGTAGGTCTGTTTGGCTCCTAGCATGTTAGTTGCCAACTGTTAAAAATCCAGAGAGATTTTATGTAACTCTGCATAAAAGAAAGAAAGGGGGAAAAAAAAAAAAAAGGCTCGCTACACTTAGCCTGTAGTGTTACATGCTATCAGCATGCTGGGACCAGATGGCAATCACCCCTTTGGATGAAGAAGGCCACGTCTTGTCCATATAGGGTCCCCTGTCTAATTTGGCTTGAGTCTTCAACCCCGGTCTAGTCCAAATCTAACTGTAGAGAAGTGAAAACTAAGGACCAGAAAGGAGAAAGGTCTTTCCCAAGTTCACAGAGCAGGTTAAAAAAAGTGCTGGCTGACACAGGAGCCCACTTAGGCCCCCTGCTCTCCATTTTTTCAAAGATGGATCAGGCTAGATTCCGGTTCCCATCTACTCCCAAGGCCAGAAGCCGCTGTGCAGTGAACAACCTACATTCTCCGAGCCCATAACCCTGGCTTGGACCAAACTAATGTGACTTGCTGCTCTGAAGAGTAGTTTCCTCTGAATCCTGGCAGAGCAGGTTAGCCCAAGGAATGTCAGGTCCAAACTCCCCTGCCTCACCAGCCTCGCCAGTAGCTGCCCTCTGCTCACCCAGACCCTTGGCTTTCTTCTTCTCCTGCGGCCTTCGGTGATCTCGGTCTCCAACCTCGTCACTTGCCCGGATCTCATCTGTGCCCGGCTCCCCCTTGGAGGTCTCCTTCTCACCATTGACTACCGGGGTCTCTGGCTCAGGCTCCCCATTTCGCGAAGCATAGGTCCGGGATTTGTCTGCATCTTCGGGCTCAGCAGGCTCACCCTGTGCCCCATCCTCACCTGGGCCCCCCTGATTGTTGTCCACACAGTATGTACTCAGAATGTCTTCCAACTGGCGGCTCAGCTCCTCAGAGACATCACGGAGAGCCCCAGACTGAGCAGTTTTGGCCTGTGCTCCTACAGCAGGGCAGGATGAGGGGCAGAAGGAGAAACAAGATGGTTTTTCCATTGGCTGGGATTTTCCAGGCCCGAACTTACTCGTTCGGGTTAAATGCTGCCTACCTTCTTGAAGCCTCAGTTCATTCACCTATAAAAATGATATAATTGGGGCACCTGGGTGGCTCAGTTGGTTAAGTGGCTGCCTTCGGCTCGGGTCATGATCCCAGGGTCCTGGGATCGAGCCCCGCATCGGGCTCTCGACTGAGCAGGGAGCCTGCTTCTCCCTCTCCCTCTGCCTGCCGCTCTGCCTACTTGTGATCTTTATCTCTCTGTTGAATAAATAATAAAAATCTTAAAAAAAAAATGATATAATTATTTTCCATGACTGCCCACCACTTCTGTCGTGTGTGTGAAAGATATCAAGGAAATAAAGCATCCAGCACATAGGGATGGCTTGTACCTGCAGTTCAACATCTAGCCCATCCCCTCCTCCTCCCCACAAAAATCATTCCTGGCTATTAAAAAATTTCCAGGAAAGCCTCTGATGTGAAGAGCAATTACCCACTGGTGAATGAGGCTTTCTAACCTGGGCTGGCAAGTTGAGTGTCTCATTTGACTACCACCTCATTTTACCCGGTAAGAGCTTTCCTTCAAGACTTCCTTCCTGTGCTTAGAATGGGCGGCCCCATCAACACCCCCCACCCCGGCAAACGGGGATCGAGGGGTGGCACACACTCAGCGCGGTCCTCCTCTCATCCTACGGTTCCTCCTTCCTTGGTAAACAGCGGCAGAAGCCTCTAACTCCAGAAGCCACCCAGGCACACCGCAAACTCCTCCCCCTGCCCGCTGGAAAGCAGAGCTGGCACACACCCTCCGTCTTCCCCGGAGCCTGGCTGGAGGAACCTTCGGCTTCTGTGGCAGGAGCCGGCTGGCTGGGCTGCCCCTGGGTTCCCTCTGGTCCTGCTTCCGCTTGCCCCGGGTTGCTTTTTGGGTTGGAAGAGTTGCCCGACTGCTTGGCAGTCCCATTCTTTTTGTCTTGGTTCTTCATTGTGGTCCGCAACGCTAGGCTGGGAGCAGGTCCTATAGAGACACAAGCACACTCGCTATTTTCCGGACTTCGAAATTCTTCACAGCTTGGAGCCGAAATCCCAATACCGGGTGCACAGAGCTTCTCAGAACACACTGGCCGGCCTTCACCGGAGGGAGCCAACAACGGTTCTGTCTCTGGCCGGTCAGGGAAGAACGGCGCGCCCAGGCAGGTTTTCGGGCGCCGCTCCAGAAGCGGGGCAGGCAAGGCCTCCCTTTTCTCCAAGCCGCTTCCCGGCACTACAAGGCCCCCTCACCACAGGCAGAGCGCGGGATAGGCTCAGGGACGGAGACTGACGTGGCGAGATGCTCGATTTTCATCCCTCCCCCGGCCCCCAGGCCCCACGTGGGCCCCCCCACCCGCGCGCGCTGCCACCCACGCCCCGCGCGCCCTCCAGCCGCGCGCACCGCCCGGCCGCGCATGCGCAGAGGCCCCAGCTCTGCCCCCCCCCCCCCGCCCCGCTCCCCCCCCCACCCGGCCCGCGCCCTTGCGCGGAATCGCCGTGATTCTCCCCACTGGCCGAGAGCGTTCAGGCCCACAGACCTTCTGGTCATCTCGTCCGCCCACCCTTCGGGACACGCACCTCACCACCAACCTCCCTACAGCTTCGCCCGCTCTGGCCTCGCACCGGAAACCCTGGGTAACCGCTACCGGCCGAGCCGCCTGCTCTGCTGCAGCCAATCAATAGCCGGCGCTCTCGCGGGGCTTGCTGGGAAAGATGAAGCGAAGGCGGCCTCTCAGGCGGGTAAGTTAGGAAAGCGGGGGAGGGAAAGGACTACACCTCCCGGCATGCATCGGGGCTGACACCCCCGCCCCCAACTCCCAAGGTGCAGTAGAAAGGACTTTAGTTCTGAGAGCAGGATACCCACAGGAGGTCTGAAAGGAGCTAGTCATTCTGCACAAATGCTCGAGTTCATCTCGTTCCTATCATGCGTAACTTATGATTCGGGTCCAAAGCCCTGCGACTGGCTGTTCTCTCCTGCACGCCCCTACAAGGGATAGAATATTGGGCTGGGTATGAATTCCAGTCCTAGCCTCATTGCTAATTTGCTGTGTGACCGGGCCTCATTTTCCGTATTCAAATGAAAACTTCATATCAGTAGTAGTTCTTAGAGCGCCAACGGTGGGGTTTCCCATCTACTAGCTTAACCCTCGTAACTGCTTATGAAGATTAGTACTATTTGTCATTCCCATTTGCATCTGAGGACACAAGTCAAAAGTTACTTGTCCCATCACTATTGAGTGGTATGAGCAGGGATTCAAAACCAGGAAGTCTGGCACAGTACCCATTTTAACTCCTGGACTACCGTGCCTCGTATCCAGAAGAAATGGTAATTTGGCTAAATTATTTACACCCCCCCCCATATTACCACCCTGAGTCCCTCTTTGGAAGGGGCTGAGGGGGCTCTGCAAGAAGTTTGGTCTGAGCAGATTCCTGAATTTTTCTCTGATTGACCCACCCTCTACAGTCAAATTCCAAGTTGTACTGGGGCTAAAGACGGAAAACCCAAACTCTCTCCAAATGTGGTATCACAGTTCTTTACTCAGCTGCCTACGGATAATGGAATAATAGCCAACAACCCATGTGCCTGAAATTCAATGTGTAAATGGTTTGGCTTGTTTCCAGCCAATCCTGCCCATGCCCTCTTTTTTGTTCCCACTATACTTTTATTATTTTCAGGATTTCCCAGTTTTTTTACAGGTGCTGTTCCAGCTTCCAAAATGCCCTAACAAAAACAGTATTTCGAGGTCCAGCACAAAGGTCACTTCAGAGCCTTCCTAGTGCTCAACAGTCTGTCCCAGCTCCCTAGGTCTGGATAGAGCTCTGCAACAGCATTAGTAATGAGATGTTGAAATAATTTGCTTACAAGTCAATGAACATTACAAGAACTATTGGCTAAATTGTAGTTCTAAAGCTTAGCATCAGTCCGGGGCAGTGAATGAAATTGTGCAAATTGAGCACTTTTTCGGTTCTCCTAAGGGTGATCAGTATCTTCCCCAGTTAGACTTAAGGATAGTGCTCTTCCCCAACCCTTAGTCTGTTTACCAGGTAACCTTGAAAATCTGGTATTAAGAGTACAAAGATGGGACTCAAGCCAGAAATGTTTGGAATCCAGGTGTCTCCAGAACTAAGGCCCTGATTATTTCCAGAAAAACATGTTGGAAATCTCTTGAGGTAACATATAAATCAGGCCTTGATGGCTTCCCATTTTAAGAGGGTGTTCTAGGCAGAGATAAAGAAGATAGTAAGAACAAGGCCTTTGTGGGGTAAGGGGGTGGAATTGTATAGCTATAAGGATCAACAGTGGCCTACAGGGGCATGGCAGATAAAATTTGAGAAACATGGGTTAAAGGTTATTTTCTCCTCTACTGTAAAAGAAAATCGCAACAATATTAACATTTTCTAGTCGGTTGGGGAGATCATTGGGAAGGGTGGGGATTGTGGTAAAATAGAGCTCTCTTGCAGATTGTTTTCAAGCAGAAACTTAGGTCCAGTAGTGCCAGAAATTTTTCAAGTTAGATCTTTTAAGAAATGTTGGCAATGAATTAATACTCTATCAGCCAGCCAAAACCTTCCTTTTAGATTGAACCACCTTTTGGCTGGTTGTTTGTAATCTCTTGATTTAGGAATTGACCTAAATGGTCAATTAGGAATATGACCCCTGTGGCTGAAAGGGCTGTAACTGAAACTGATAAAATGATGTCAAAATCCTGCAGAGATACTCTAGAAAATGCAAACTAAACAATGTGACAGAACATGTATCAGTGGATGCTGGGGGTTTGGAGGGAAGGAGGGACTCCACAGAGGCACGTAAAAACTTCTGGAAGTGATGGGTATGTTCACTATCTTGACTGTCGTGATGGTTTCATGAGTGGATATGTCAAAACTTACGAAACTGTACATTTTAAATATGTGCCATTTACTGTATCTCAATTATATTTCAATAAAGCAGAGTGAAAAAAATTCTTGGGGTGCCTGAGAGGCTCAGTTAGCTAAGCGTCCAACTCGAGCTCAGCTCAGGTCTTGATCTGATTGATCAGGTCTTGATCAGGACTGTGAGTTTGAGCCCTGTGTTGTGGTGGAGCTTACTTAAAAGAAATTCTTGGGCTGCCTGGATGGCTCAGTTGGTTAAGCATCTGTGTTTGACTCAGGTCATGATCTCAAGGTCTTGGGAGCGGCCAGGTGTTGAGCTCCCTGCTCATTGGGGAGTCTGCTTCTGTCCCTCCCCCCCAGCTCATTTGCACACTCTGTCTCTTAAATGCATAAATAAAATGTTAAAAAATCTTTATAAGCAGGAGCAGGCTGCTGCAATCCTAATTCCACTGTTAGGCCACACGTTTAAACACTCTTACCTCATTCGCTTCCAAAAAATCCAGTTAGGATGATTCGAAAAGAAGACGATTTAGAACTTTGCAACAGGTTTTTTATTTTTGCTTTATATCTAGTACAGTGTTTGAAACCTAAAGAAATACATTTTCTCTTCAAATTTGGATGTGTATATAAATATCATTTGTCTGGACTCAGCACACTCAATGCCACGGTTTCTTGGCCTATGTCTGCTCTGAAATCATCAAGCTTTTCTGTCTACCCAGGGGCCCTGAGAACATGGAAAATAGCCAGAGTTTATAGTTCTTAGAAAACTAAAAGCAAATGGACTTGGAAAGAATAAACCAATGAAGAAAAAGTTTTGATTCACCTTCCTAGGGTCTTTAGCTGGGAACCCAAGCTGTTTTTGAAAGACATCCAGTCTGACCTCGGTGGCTGGGACCTCATACCCACCCTATACCCCTCCTTAGCTTCTTTAGTCATCAATCAAAGGCAGATCCCATGGAAGCTGGCTATAGGAGACAATACCTGACTCTAGGGTCTAAGGGTTCTGGTAGAGGTGGGACTCTTGAATGACATCCTGAGTCAAGAGGCTCCCAGCCAATTTCAGTATCTGAGCTTTGACTTCCTTCACCGGCCCCAGGGCATGGCAGAGTTTTCTCTCCCCAAACCAGGAGCTGAAAATCGAACTTACACAGGGGAGCAGGGCTAGTGTTAGGAAAGGGGTTTAGGTATGTGCCAACAAGGACATCAGCAGTCAGGCTGGCCAAGAAATAGCGAGGTAGGCCCAAACCCACTGGAGACCTTTAGGACACACTACAGAAACCTTTTTCCTGGGTGTTCTGGGCCCAAAATTTAACGTTGCCTCCCACACCCAGTTTTGGCTCTGCACATACCCCAGGTCTGATGCAAAATGCTCTCTCAGAGGAAAATAACAGCTTTAATTCACAGACTTGATTGGTATTGACTTCAAATTCTTCCCTTGTCATGGTCTTAAAGTGGGGATGGGGCTAGTGGGTAGACAGTGGGATGACTGAATCATTTACAAAGGCCTTGGCCAAAGAGCAGCTAGTGCCTACTACACGGATCCCCTCAGGGCCAAATTCTCAGCTGGCTGGCTTAACAAAAGTCTTCGAAAGTTAAGACACAGAAAAAATACTGGACAAGATTGGTCTAGAATGTGCAATCCTAAACGGCTGTGGAAGAAACCTACTCTGAGCAATATTGCAGTCTCACACTCACTCACTTCTAGGACAGTTTCTAGGACTTCTAGCCATTTCTAGGAAAGTCCTACCTAGAAGATGTTGCTACTGGTAATGAGTACTTCCTATGGTTCAGTGCAGAGCCTCACACCTTTCCCCAGCCTGCCAGGGAGGCCTGCAGCCTGCCCGTCCTCCCTATGGCTCCCCGCCTTCAACTGAAAATCCAGAATCTGAGCTCACAGACGAATCTACTAAAGAATCCCAGATGAGGAAACCAGGCTGAGTGAGTCTCAGGGAGAAGAGGGAAGCACTGTTAGGCATTCATCTCCTTCCCTTTTAGTTTGCTAGAAACAAGTAGCTCTAGGGCATAGAGGGAAACACGTAGACGTGAGAACATGGAAATCTAGTTCTTTCTGCCAGATGGTTTTCATTTTAAACTAGTGTGACTTGAGAGAAATAGAAAAGTGTGCCTGAGAGCTTTCTTTCACTCGTCCTTGACCAAGTACAGTAGCAGCTATGATCTGTGCAGTTTAGCTCTAAAAAATAGGGTTCTTGGAAAGTGGCTTCCAGGGCAAAGAGTAGAAAGAATAGATCTAAGGGTTCTAGGTAAGGGGGTGGGTAAGAGCAAGGGTCCCTGAAAGCTGAGGTCATCAGTGCCTGCTCCTCAGAAAGGTCATTTGTCCGCA